TAATTATAAATTAATTGGATGAGAATTTAAAAGAAATGACAAATTAATGAAAATAGTAATAAATGACAAACTATGAGCAAGTAAAATTCTTTATTATAATATATGTACTTTTTTTTTTGAGAAATACATCTTATGTAATTGTTAATTAATAAATTATGTTATGTGATAGTATGTGCTTATAGACATAATTATTTTTTGAATTTTTTTTTCAAATTAGATATTTTAAACTTTAGAAATAAATAATAAAGGAAATAAATTATTGGATCCTTTAAAATTTTAACACCCAACATTATTTAGAAACGAAAATTAAAAAAAAAAAAAGCTGTTCACTTTTCGAAACGGAAATAAAAAAATGATCACACCAAAAGAAAAATTAGATATTTTAAATTTTAGAAATAAATAATAAAGGAAATAAATTGTTGGTTTTTTTAACATTTTAACACCCAATTAATTGTTGGTTCCTTTAAAATTTTAACACCTAACATTATTAAAAAATAAAAATTAAAAAAAAGTTCAATGTTTAGAGAAAAAGGGGAGGGCCAGCCATTTAATGTTCATGTGAACGGTAAACGGATGGAAATTTAAAAACAAAAATGATGAGTGTTTACAAAGAAAAAAAAAGGGAGGGGCATAAGTCGTTTGCTATTCAAATGAACGAGTAAACGGAACAAAAAAGCTAGAGGGTGCGGGCCAAAAAGAAAAATAATAATTTTTTTTAAAATAAAACACAATTGTTCATTGCTATAGCGAAAAAGCATTTTCCTTTAGTTTATAGTATAATTTAGGAAAGAGTTCATCCTACATCTGGTCCTTTTATTGCTTGAATTTTTTTGATTGATAACTTCTACGAATTTTTAATTTGATTAAAACTCTCTATTCTTATAAATTTGTTAATTCGGATCCTTTGTTATAACTTCGTTAACTATTCATTTGATGTGTCACGTTAAAATTAATGGTAACCAATCACAAATTGACAAATGGCATAATGGATCCTATAAAATAGTTTTTCCGTCTAAAAAATAAAATTAAAATTCAAAACTGATTTTTATAATAAACTAATGCTTAAAATTTAAAAAAAAAAAAAGAAAACACCAAAAAAAAAAAACACTCCCAAAACCTAGTTAAATTTTCCATCTTCTATATTGAAAACAACCAAGAATGAAAATTTTCCTCTTGTTTTTCAATTTTTCTCAGAAAATCAAAGAAAATGAGAAGACTTTTTTTATTTGAAGTAATCAAAGAAAATGACATCAGATCAAGTAATCAAATACCCTTCAATCACAACAATTCTCCGATGTAACACTACTACAAAGCCACCAACAAACATTTTAAAATAACCACTTCTATCCAACAATTTCAATCCAAAATAAAAAAAATCATATCCAATAACATCAATCAATCCAACAAGAACAAAAATCCCATCGATCTTTAATTTCTACCTATCGAAATTACCAAAATAAATGTACTATATAACACCCACATCATTACGAGTAGCTTCTCTCATCAAAATTTTCTATTCTATTGTGCAAAATGATTACATTTCAAAGAAGCCGCTTCTATGTTACTTATGCATAGTTGTTATGGGAACGCCACTGGCTTCTGACTTCTTGAAAGGTTTTCCATGCCATTTTTTTTGTCATTTGTAACAAACTGCTCTACTACTTGCCTATGTAATGAATTTCCAACCATAATCTGACCTGCTAATAACATAACTTTTCAGATCTTCAGGACATTATCGAACTTTATTTGTGTGTTGAAAAAAGCTAAGGAGTCGACCTAACAAAAGTGTCTGTGATTTGTGAAGATTAAAAGATAGATAGCGAGGAGACATAGAGGATGGGATGGGAAATGATAGGGGCGGGGTGTTTTGGTATTTTCCTTTTCTCGATCTACTTTAAGTGTCATTTTATTATAAAAATTAGTTTTTAATTATTTTATTTTCAGGTGAAAAAACTATTTTGCGAGACTCATTATGTCCCGTGTTAATTTATGATCGATTACTATTAATTTTAACATACTATGTCGGATGAATAACTAACAAATGGTTTGAATCAATAAATTTATAAAGATAGAAGGTTTCAATCAAATTAAAAAAATCTTAGACAGTCTCAATAAAAACAATTCGATTAATATATAAACCAAATATGAAATAAACCTATTTAGGAAATAATGAAGTAGTAATCCTTTATGAACAGCAATAATTTAAGTAAGAAATTATCTTTATGAGTGTAATAACGACAAAGCAATTAACGCGTCGCAGTAATGGAAAGTTTAAAGTGATAAAAATAGGCAGTAGTTGTATTCCACCACCACTACCACCCCCAAAAGAATAAAAAAATAAATAAAATCATTTCAATTAGCAGGTGTATCACACGCGAATCAAAATCGCGTTTTCGGTTCTTTGTTTATAGTATTACCACAAAACATGTGGACCCACTTAGTTGAACCTTTGATGGATGATGATCTTTGATTCTTTCCTCGTTCGTAACTCTACCCTTTCGTGCCTTACTTCTCTACATCATTCTTTACTTCTCCTCTCTCTCTCTCTCTCTCTCTCTCTCTCCAAACCACGCAAATACAAAATGGCTTAATTTTATTTGGTCCCCCACTCTTAATTGTTTGTTAGTTTGATGATTTGATCCCCTACTATTAATTTTATCCTAACATCCTCCGCTTCCCCATGTTTCTATAATCATACGCCCTATTATTGTCAATAGTTATGGAAAACCATTAATTTTGAAAAGAAGACTACACACAAACAAAATAATTACTAAATTTTTTTTTAAAAAATCTAGTAATATCAATTGTGAAATTGAATAAAACAAAAAATTTCTCAATCCTTTGTATAGCAAGTGATAATATATCATATATGACTTGACACATCAATTTATATTTTTTTCTTTCAAATATATAGATTTTTTTCAAGGACGCATAGCCTTGCTCGATATATATATATTAAGGATTACAATGTCTTTGGGTCAGTTTTTGTATAATAAGATCAAATTCTATTTTATAGCTAGATCTTTAATTAGTTATTCATATTCATGTTCTTATAGTTTTATATAGAATTTGAACCTTACAAGATGACAAAAAGAACAAATTAATTTACTGCTTGTGTTTAGTAGTTGCATTTAGTGACATGATTTTAACATCCGAATGATCAAAGCAACAGAAAGACTTTAAAAAGAAAATAATAGAGATACCAAATTAAAATAAAATAGAGAGTAAGGGGATCAAATGCAGTATTAAGGAAAAAGAAAATAAACAGAGACAAACACAGCTCCTTGTTGGATGATTAAAAAATAGGAGAGGCGGAAAGAAACGAAAGCCAAAATAAACAGACAGACAAAAATCACATATGTGTATCTACTTACTTCTAAGTCTTCCCCGCACACACATGTGTGTATATTTTATGAAAATAACAATAATTACAAGTTAAAACAAATTAAAATTAAAATTAAAAAGCGAAAAAAGAAACTCTCTCTACCTCTGTATATAAGTTTAAAACAGCGAAAGTTCTCGTTTTGTTTCTCTTCTTGGTGACAAATCTCTCGATCTCTCCATTTCTCTCTCTCTCTCTCTCTTTCATTTCACATTAGAGATTTCAAACAGGTTAGTTTTTAATGCGAATTGTTCTCGACTCTTTTAATTTCTGTTCTTGTTTGATTTTGGAGCTAAATTGTTGGTGTTTTTCTTTAATTTTGTGTTTTTATGGTGAACTTTTTATCTTTGTAGTATCTAGGGATTTTGAGATGTTTCTAAATATAGCAATTACCAAATTGTGCTGTTACAGTGAATGATTTTTTGTGTTGAATAGTTAGGTTTTTGATGCTTTGATTGTTTGTTTCTTTGTTTTATTCGAGTTGTAATTTTGTTGCTTCTTTGCGTTTATTCAATTCTTGCAGGTTTTTGTAGTGATGATTTTGTGCTTCAAATTGGAAGTGAGTGGAGGGGAAAGTCTATTTTGTTCTCACAGCATGAATTAGGGTTTCAGATATGGATAATTCTTTTGTGTTGCAGAGTACTGTAATCTAAATAAATTTACTGAGGTAGTAATTGGAAGAGAAATGTTTTTTTCTTGTTATGGTTAATTTGTTTCTTTAATTTAAAAAGGAAACAAAAACCGAGTGGAAAGGAATTCTTGGTAGTATTGGATGGGGAATAAGCTTGGGAGAAGGAGACAAGTGGTGGATGAGAAGTATACAAGGCCACAAGGTCTGTATGTTCATAAAGATGTGGATCATAAAAAGCTAAGGAAGCTCATTCTCGAATCCAAGCTTGCACCTTGTTTTCCGGGGGATGAGGACAGCTGTTATGATCATGAGGAATGCCCAATCTGTTTCTTGGTCTGTACCATCATCTTTCTTTCTTTAGTTCGTTTATCTGTCTTTTTATCCTCAGGTTTATTTTGGGAAATTCTGTTTTTGCTCATTTCCATTGTGTTTGGTTGCTTATAAAGCTAAAGAAAAAGAAAGGAATTGTTTTTGCTTTTTGTCCATTCTCTTTAATGTTTTCTTGAAAAAAATGCAGCATTTGATTGATTCTTTCCATTCTTTTTGAGAGACTAGGCAAATTCTTTTAAGATACCACATATTTCCTTCACCCTTTGTTTACCTGGTGATTGAGGAGGAATAGTTGATTTTCTAAAGCTCAAATTGAATGGTATCAGACTCAGTTATATAGTGTTGGTGTGACCAATCTGGCCCCTTTGTTTTGTTTGTCTTAGTATTATCCGAGTCTCAACCGATCAAGATGCTGCATGAAGGGCATTTGTACAGGTAAGTGGCAACTGTATTCTGCAATTTGACATGTTAAGTTAGTCATTCATAACATGTATGCAATTTGATCTGTGTTCTTTGTATCAGAGTGTTTTCTGCAGATGAAGAATCCTAATTCAACTCGTCCTACTCAGTATCCTTCAGTGAAAATTTTTTAATTCAGTTGCATATTTCGTTTAATTTGACTGTCATCATCTTAATCCCTCTTGAAGCCATGTTCCTATGTTTGCGGTACTTAACATTATAAGATGTCCATTTTGCAAAACCTCAAATTATGCTGTGGAGTATCGAGGTGTGAAAACAAAGGAGGAAAAGGGTTTGGAGCAGATTGTAAGATTGATTGGCCTTAGTAGCCCTAATTTTATACTGTGAACTGATATTTCCCAGATATTGGTTGACATTTATAAGGATTTCTTCATTTTCTGCAGGAAGAACAGCGTGTTATAGAAGCACAAATTAGGATGCGACAGCAGGAGCTTCAGGATGATGAAGAGAGAATGCAGAAAAGACTAGAAGTGAGTTCCTCGAGCATTAATATTTCACCAGGGGAGCTTGAATGTGGGCCAACAGCTGGTATGCTCTCTTTGAAATTCTGGTTTCTACTGCCCGTATGCTTATGGTAACTGTGGTAGTTATAATTTGTCCTCCCTTTCCCAAATCCTCTCCCAGTTTCGGCTGATAGGGCTCCAGTGGACAGTGAGGAAATTGTTTCATCTCAATACTCAATCAGACGTCCTCCACACTCTGGAGCGAACAGGTATATTGCATCTCTGGTGGCGCCCCCCCCCCAACACCCAACCCCCCACAAAAAAAAAAAAAAAAAAAAAAACCCTCAAAAGTTCTTGTTTTGATTCAGGTCAGTGAGACTGGCTGTGACTTGATTTTTGTGTTTCCTCTCATGCAAATATTTATTAGACAACAATTACAAGGAAGACAGAATGTTTCATCCAGCAAATTGTGTTCTACACATTTTCTTTTTCCTAGAAAATGTTGCGTTCCCAATTTATTTTGTCCTTCAGAAAATTAAACATTTTGGTTGCGATGTAATTTTAGATCATAGGATATCCTGTCAACAGCAGAGAGTTTTTTTCATGGTTGTTGCAATTTATAGGTTTGAAGAAGCTTGTTTTACAATTCAAAAACACATTCTCTTGAGAGTCAAGTGTCCCTTCTAATTCATGTAAGGTTCAGTTGTATAAATTCTGAGGTACAAACATAGGTTAGTGCCTAAAGTTTTTGCTTAATCAATTTGGAGGTTGAAATATATAGTGAAAGAGTTGAATGGGGTTCCTGTGGTAATGGAATGAAAGGAGGAGAGAAGATTGCAGTGTCACAACTGTTTTGCACTGTTAACTTTCTCTAGAAAAAGAAAAGGCAAAAGCTTCAATGCATGCTGTAGCTCATTGAGACTCAGATTTTTTTTTTTCCAATGGAAGGTAGAAGTTAGAATGATTGTAAGCTTTGTTATGGTTTAATGACTTTAAATTCTAAATCAAATGTGTCAACGGTTTGTTATCTAATGATGTCAGATAGCTCATTTCTCAGATTTGGTATGCAATGGGATAATTTTATTGGACGTTTGCTTATAGATTTGATCAGCACCAGAACTCAGAATAGCATACTTAGTACCAGATTTCTCAGTTCAGCAGCCAGTTATATTAAGCTTAATAAGATGTTTAAAAGATTCTGATTTTCTTCCAGATTGCCATTGTTCTGATTTATATATCAAATGTTTATTAAATTTGCAGGGATGATGAATTTGACCTGGATCTCGAGGATATTATGGTCATAGAAGCAATCTGGCTTTCCATTCAGGTAAAAGGTCTTTTGATTGGTTTCCTCCAACTTATATGCAACATGGACTAAGAAATTTTGAGGTGTTTGAACAAATATTTTATTTTTATTTGACTTTTTTACTATGTGATTGACTTTTTTACCTCTAGTATGTAATTGCCTTTTTCACATGCATTAGTCCAGCATTATCCATGCACCAGTCAAAACCGTTTGCATCTTCCTGTCTGGGGACTGAATACAATTACGATTTCCTGTACTCCAACATTTATGATCGACAATTTATAGTTGTGCCTATGAGAAAGTCCCTTTGAGTCGATTCCAGTAATGCAAAGCTGAAGTTTGTTAGAAACCTCCGTAGTTTTGGCATTTGATGGGATGCATTTCCAAAATTGTCTTGTTTGACATTGCTGCTAGAAAAGGATGCTCTTAACTCTTTCAGTGCTTAAACAACTTCCCTCAACTATCGTGGTTGTGATTTAAGTCCCAAAGTGAATGGTCTCTTTTCTGTCTCGTCAAGCTGATCTTTATGCTGATTTGGTCAAGACACGTTCTTTGTTTTCCAGATTATCTCTCAGAGTGGGTGAGTGAAATTTATGATGTAAACAACAATAAATGGAACCAAAAAATGCAAGGCATTTTAAAAATATCCTGTCACAAGGTCTAACTTACCTTTCCCATTGTTTGTTCAAAAAGTGAGCACTTTAGACGGATTTGGATCTCTGTCACTTTAGGTTTGACAGCAATGTTCTTTAGGCCCCCTTTTTTTACTGTTTTTCCTTGCACTTCCCTTTCCTTTTCCATTGCCCTATTTCTATCTTAATCTTGCACATACAGCTGTGCTGGAAGGATTCTTGCATTTTTATCCATATTAGTTCTTATAGCTTATGCATCACATGGCTTATGTCATGCATATGAAAATTTTTTCAAGGTTTAATATATGACTAATTTTGAAAATTAATGTAATTATTGAATAAAAAAACCATTGAAAATATAATTTGGATAAATGTATAAAAGACAATTTAAATATAATGAAAAAGAGGTATGAAACTTCATGTATTGAGTTGCCTACCCAGTAGAATTTTTGAACAAATCTTATGTAAGACAATTTAGCTCTGAAATCATGAAGGTTTGGTTTTGAACTATTTCTGTTGAAAGAATTAAATTTCTAACTGGGAAGGTTAATTAAACAGCTAAGATCATACGCTCAAGAATATAGAGATATCATATTCAGTAAAAGATTTCAGTAGTATGAATTTCAGATTCAAAATTTTTGTGTAATTTTGTGAGTCATCTGAATTATGTTTGGGGTAATTGTGTCTAATAATCAGAATCTGTGTTATTATTAGAACTAATTTTATATAATTGTTGCAGTTTATGGAGGGCTTCATATTAAATACACAGTGGTACTGTTAAGAATCAATCAAATCAGATTTGTAATATCTGGACTATGCAGATTTTAAATAATAATAATAATAATAATGAAAGAAGAGAAACGGGCAGATTGAATTTCTTTACATTTTAGAGAATATCATCCTAGTTTTTGAGGTATGTGGCCCAATGAAGCAACCATATTTCGTTTCCTGATTACTTAAATACGTAAACTTTTTTTAGCATTGCATGTACGCATGTAACTTTTCTTTCTTCTTATTTTGGATATATAGAACTCTTATGATATTAAATCTAAAGCCAGCCACTTTATAAGATTCTACATATATGAGAAAAAAACATAACTCAGCAACTTAATAGAAATCATAATAATAATTACAAGTGTCATTTAAATTTATTAGGGATAGATCATAATTAAAAATGAAAATTCAAAGTGGAGAACAAGTTAAATCTATCAAGCAAAAAGATGCTATTGCCTAACAATTCAATTATCATTCATCAGTTATAACTAGAACCAAACTCATTAAGTTAATCTCTCTCTCTCTCTGTCCGTCAACACATTAGTTTTTCAATTACAATTACCGGAAGCTTTTCTTTGTGACTAACATTTCTTCTCATCAGTAAACACCTTGAAAGGGCAGTGTCAATAGTCAATTTTGTCTCTTTTATGATAGCAGGGTTCTTATGCATATGTGCATCTAGATATCAGTCCAATAAACAAAGGAAAACGAGACATTCAATTAAATTTGGAAGCATTTTAAAAAGATTTCCAAAAAAGAGAGAATCATAACAGTACTAATAGAAAAAATAAATAATGTACCTTATGTCAACAGAAAAGCAAGTTCTTTTTTCAGAAGTTAATGTCTAGAATGGAGGCCAGTTGAAGCTATCAAAAGAGGTGCTGCTTACAAATATTTCTTATTATTGCCTAGAACACTTAATGAAAAATTAAAGTTTGTTATTGAATTGTTTCTTGCTCCTTGCCACACTCTTCGCATGTTGTTTTTTCTTAGAAGCTCAGGTTTAGGATTCCATTCCTTTTTTTTTTTTTTTTGCCTTCACCAGGGTTATGTTTTTGTCAAGCAAAGTTATCTTGACAGTTCGTGCTTTACATATAGAGGGACATTTTGCATGTACATAGGCCCGTGCTCCTTCAAAGGCCTGCTTTGGCAACTAAAAATTTTGGGTATGTGGACATGTGTTCATTCACATGAATGATCTGAAGAATGTTCTGTGTGCTATTTTAGTAACTCAGCTGTCCTTGCCTCTGATATGGACTTGGGAGAAGACTGTTTCATTCCTGGTCTTGACAATGATTTAAGATCTTACTTTACTCCAGGAAAATGGAAGACAGAAAAATCCAATGTGTGGTGATGCTGCGCCATCTGAACAATATACCATGGGAGCACGCTATGCTTCACCAGCAATGGCACCACTGGCTGGATCGTCGTCATCCCCTTCTGGAGGTCTTGCTTGTGCTATAGCTGCTCTCGCTGAGCGTCAGCAGACGGGTGGGGAATCACATGTTCACAGTAATATGCCAGCATTCAACATGCTTCCAAGCACCAGTAGCTTTTACAATAGGCTTGAGCAGCAGGATGCAGACAATTACTCTCCTGCACACAGCTCTAGCAATGTATTGCCAGATTGCAGGATGATTGCAACAAGGGATGATGGGGAATGGGGTGCAGATCGTGGATCAGATGCTGCTGAAGCTGGGACCAGTTATGCAAGTTCCGAGACAGCAGAAGATGCTGGTGGAATATCTGCCCTATTAACTCCACCACCACCACCAGATGAAATTGGTGGAAGCTTTCAGAATGTCCCAGGACCCATTCCTGAGAGTTTTGAGGAGCAGATGATGCTGGCTGTGGCCGTTTCTCTTGCCGAGGCTCGAGCTATGACAACTGGACCCCAAAGTGCATGGCAATAGTTTGCAGGGGTAGGCTACGAAAGTTGGAACAAATGATGCTGGCCAAGGCTTTTCAGCTAGCTGAGTACTGGGCTAGGGCAAGTGCACAATGTGTGCATTCAACCAGCTCAATGGTCAAGGTAGTAAAGATTCTTTCTCCTTTGCACTTCATGTCTCGACATATAGTTGTTAAAGGAAAAGGTATTATTTGAGTGAATGAAAGGTTGTTTGGTAATGATATGCATAATGATTCTAAGTCTCAAAGTCCTTTCTTTGCATGGTTCTATATAGTCGCTTAGTTTGTTCAGGAGTCGCAGGATAGCAAAATTGTTTTATGATGGAATCATCGCATTCACTTGTACAGAATTTTAGGTGGCATCCATCTGTCCTGTAATGGTTTCATTCAATCTTCCACAATTAATGAGTAGATGAGCTTGCTTAATATATCGGAGTGCAAACCAAATGGAAGATTAGATTTTTCTCACCTCTATACGGCTTGTAAAGGAACTACTTGATGGATGTTCGTTCGGTTATTCAGTTCGATTTAGAAATATTTCAGTTCGATTTAGAAATATTTTAGACGGTTTTTGGTTAATCGAATTTTCAAAAAAAAAAAAACCGAAATGTTATTCGGTTTTTCAGTTTGGTTTTGAAATATTTCGGTTTCGGTGTTGGGTAATTCGATTTTTATCTGTTTTATTTTATTGTTTTTTTTCTACAAATGGTTGATTTTATTAAAGTTTCTGAAATCTCTATTTAGAGTGAGTTTCTTTTTGCTTTGGGGACTACTAGTTAGGAACTAAGTTACATCCAAAAAAATAGTAAATGCATTGTTAGGTAAATAAATAATAAATAATAAATTGTTTACTCAAGAAGGTTTGAATTTTAGACGATAGAAAATTTATCAACGGTTTTGTTATTTTGTGTACATCTAGACTTGTAATAGTGAAGCTGTGGGAGGAAGTGTATCTAGGGAAGATGGGTTTTCAATTTGGGGATGTACATAGTGATCTAACGTAATATATATAAAATTTGATCTAACGTAATATATATAAAATTTTGGTTTTTCGATTAATCAAATTTTTTTTTAAAAAATAATAGAAATCGAATTTGAAAATCGAAATTAGTTGGGTTTAGTTTCTTATTTTAATTTCTAAAAAAAATGAATCGAAATTGATGATTCGATGCAGTTCATATCGTTCGATTTTTATATCTAACACTGAACATCCCTAACTACATTTTAATCTTTTCACACCATTGATGGAACTTTGTGAAGGTGATTTTGGGTGGTTGCGTGTCAAGTAACTAATAATCAAATGCCATAGCTGTTTGTGAAGGTGATTTTGGGTGGATGCGTGTCAAGTAACTAATAATCAAATGCCATCGCTGTGTCTGGAATTTGGAAAGAAACAGTGATGAAAGATTAAATGCAGTTATTAGAGAGATGAAATGATAGAAGAATAAGAAAATGGCTTATGAGGAGAGGAGTTCGATATTTAGGATATAGTAGGATGAAATGATCCAATCTTTGTTCCATGAGATTGGACTAGCTTGTCCTCACGAGGGGAACGGGACACGGGGCAATTTTTATATTTTATTTTTATAGCAGGGCTTTTCATAAGAATAAAATAATAAAAGATTGCAAGACAATTTATGAGTCCTGTGTGTGTGGATATGTTGGTGGTTTCATTCCATTGACGAAACAATTGTAATTTTGTAGTCACATATTTTCGTTGTTTTTCTCTTCATGAAATTGGACAAGTAGGTGAAAAGAGTTTCATTACTTGTACTACTGTTCCATTACAACAAGGATAAAGATTGCTTTTCATCTGGTTTCATGTTGAAATCTCTTTCCTCTCATCCATTCCCATCGGCTCTATTCAACGAATTCCAAAATTAGTGCCAAAATTTAAATGTATCTGCTCAATCATACTACAGAACACGAGTCTTGTACATGATAGATCAATGGGGTGTCTATTAAAAGAAGACATGACTCAAATCTCTACCATGCAAGAGGTACTCAAATTAGCTTCTCATTTTTTGCTGATATATATATATATATATATATATATATATATATCCGTAGTTAGTAGTGTTTGCCCCCCAGTGGGGTTTTATTGACTCTATGCAAGACGATTCGCATAAAAAAATCCTTGTTAGCAGCTCATATATTTTCTTTGGTTTGATTCTTGTGCATTCAGTTCTTGTGAGTAAATCTGGTGGGGCTTTGAACCATTATATGTCTTACTATCGAGATGGAGCGTCGGCCATATAAATAGAGAGAGAGCCACAGTTCGCATTCTTGTTAGATAATAATTTCGACTGCAAATTTGACAAGGACATGTATCTTTTAGCAGCTCACTTGCTAACAAGAATTTCCTGACACAAAATCCTCAAGATATATCTTATGTGTATGACTGATCCAATCATGACCATTGGATCATGAGCCCCATCTTCCAAGATGTGGGTACGGTCAGTGTGAAGTGTGAACTAGCAATTATAAAAGAGAGATTAATGATCTAGGGCATTGGAGCAGCTGAAGATGTATCAACAAACATTTAAACCCCTACATGGTATGTCTCATTAATAACAAGGAAAGGTCGGCTTTCTTTCACGTGGTTTTGATATGGACAAAACTTGTTAACAATAGTTGCCCTAAGCTGTTCACTATATTCCCCCATAGTATGATTACATTAATGATAAGAATCTGATCCTATAGATGTGTTTGATTAGAAAAGTAAATTAAGGGATCCATCTTACCGCAAGTGTTCACAAGTATTTAACTCCAATCAATCAAGTCCTACTTACATATTCTGCCCAACTCGATTGACAACCAAACTAAAATGCGCTAGTTAAATCTTATAGGATTTTAATTGAGTCTCTCTCATAGTGACTATTGATGTAATATTTTTTAATCTGTTTAAAAAATATAAAATATCTATACGTTACTAATTAAAAATTTTTTTGGGGGGGGGGGGGGTTGGGTAAAAATGCATTTTTTAAATTTTATTTTAATTTCCACGGATTCCATTCTATTGAAAAATCAGCAAAAATAGTTTCCATTTTTTTTTTTTCACTTTAGTGAAAGAGGTTATGTTTGAACCGCATGTCATTTTAATCATTTTATCTGTTATTAGTAAAAGGCATCTTATGTCTTTTTCTCGTTTTGAATAGAAGAGGGGTTTTGATCCCTCTTTCAAATTCAACTGTTGCAAGTGGGTTTACTTGCACATTACCTGTGAACTGAATATATATTCTTCAATATATATTTACAAAGTTATCAATTAATCAGTATGGATGAGAGAGAGTTACCATTTATTATATAATTCATGATCTATTGGATCTATATGTCAATGAAAGAAAGATTGAAGAAATTTGACAGAAAAATAAATTTAAGTTGTGTTTGGCATGAATTATGGAAAATAATTTTTCATAAATAACTCACAAAACAACTAAGTTAAGAAGTATATTTGCAAAATTTGTTTCAAAGTATTATTATTATTGAGAAAAGAAGACCGTATAAGTTAGAAGTAAAAAAAAATTAATTCATAATTAAAATAAAATTTTGATTCAATTTTATAATAATTTTTATTAAAATCAAATATTATTTCCAACTAAAATATTTATTAATTTTTTGGAGTCAAAATCTAAAAAACAATGTCCAAAAACCATACCAAACAAAATCTAAACCATTTTGATAATAATAAAAAAAAGCTTGAAAGATTTTAATCGCTATCTAAACGAAAATGTGGCGTTATTTTCATTTGAGAATCTTGATATTTTAGTGTGGGTTCTCTTTAACTTAGTAATCAAATTGTCATAGAAATATTTCAACGCATTGTTTTATGTTATTTTCATAAATTTGAAGAGTTTAGAGGGAAAAAAAAAAAAACCAAGGAGTTTGAGTTTCCGTAAAATGAGAAGCTTGATACTAATCAAACATGAGAAAACAATCTCGAAGTAAAGTTTCTATCAACCCTATGTGAGGAGAGCACTCTAATTAAATTCTTTTTCAAGGATTTGTTTTTTTTTTTGAGTGATTTGGACATGGAATTGAGAGCTTACCATTTGAATGAACCGGAGAGTCCTCTAGTGGTGTTATAAGATGAAAATTACCTTTTCTTCTTTCCATAAGAACAAATTTGCAACGCCCTTAAAAAATTAAAAAAAAAAAATAAATTTCCATCAAAATAAATTTTTTGTTAAAAAAAATATTCTTTTAAATATGCATTTAACAAAATTTATTTATATCATATAATTTGATACTTTCCATCATATACATTAAAAAAAAAAAACATAAATGGAAACAAAAAGTCGAATACATCTTGATTAAAAGAAGAAGAAGAATAAGAAGAAGAAGAATATCCCTTGCTAGCATCCTTTGGTGTTGTTGTCATCCATATTTACTTGATCGCCTCACGTCCAATTCACAAAGAGAACTTCGAATCCTAATATGTATTGTCATCATCCTATTTTTACCCCATAAAAATACAAAAATAAAAAGGAAAATAAAAAGGAAAAGGAAAGAAAACAAAAAGGAAGAAGAAAAGACGAAGAAGAGGGAACTAGACCTAGATTAGGATTGGGCTAGATACTAGGCATTGGATTAGGCCTTACTAATAATAAAAAAAGAAAAATTAGAATAGGAAAAAAATTCTTGGTCAACCCTAGATACACTACTATAAATATTATGTGCATACACACACAAAGGAGAACAAATAGACAACCACCTAAAGGGAAAAAAAAAGAAGGAGAAAAACCCTAGTAGCCAAAATAACTCAAGCCAAAAAACAACGAGTTGCAAGCACGCAGTCGTTGCTCGTCGATCATCAATCACAAAGCAACACAAGACCAAAAGAATCTTCTATCCAAGACGGTTCTAACACCCTAAGAATCAGTTAATTCTAATTATCGAGGAAGCCACATCGCTATCCAAAGTTTTACCTTCGAGTGGTAATCTTTTATCCAGCTTTGGTCCTCGAAGCTCTAATTTGGGTAATCACACATCCGTATGTTCAATT